GCATTGTAGGGGAAGCTGTAGCCATGCCTACTTAGGGGCTGGCTACAGGGGTGCCTGGCCCCCCCCCTTGGGGGGGGGGTGTGTGTGAGTGTGTGTGTGTGAGTGTGTGCTGAGTTTGTGTGACTGTGTGTGTGTGAGAGTGTGTGTGTGTGAGTGTGAGTGTGTGTGTGTGAGAGTGTGAGTCTGTGTGTGTTTGAGTGTGTGTGTGAGACTGTGTTTGAGTGTGTGTGTCTGTGTGAGTGTATGTGTGTGAGTGTGTGTGTGTGAGTGTGGTGTGAGTTTGTGTGACTGTGTGTGTGTGAGAGTGTGTTGTGTGTGTGTGTGTATGAGAGAGAGAGAGAGAGAGAGAGAGAGAGAGAGGGAGAGAGGGAGAGAGAGAAGAGCAGAGCAGAGGCCAATCTTGTGTGTTGTTCTGCAGGCACTTTATTTCTTCAGATAGGATCTCCCACTAGCCTGGAATTTCCCAAGTAGGCTAAACTGCATGACCAGCAAGTCCCAGAGATCTGCTTGCCTCCTTCCTCTACTGAGATTACAAGCATGCATTAGCATACTTTACTTTTTCACATGGCTTCTGGCTGTCAGGGTTCATGTCCACAGCTTGCTTGTCAAGCACTATACTAACTGAGCTACCTCCTGGCTTTAGATTACTGTTTCTGTAACAATTATATAAAAACCAGACCAACCTTATCAGAAACCATGCAAGCAAACAGATAACAGAATAAGCTCTTTAGCATATACAAAGAGTTTAGTCAATGTAGGCCTCTCATTAAGCAATAATAAATTCTAAACTGAAGACAAAACAGAACACTTTTTGGAAAAACAAACACATGTGAGATAATTTGGCTCACAGTAAATACTGACCATATTACTTTAGACCTAGATAACCACAAAATAAATAAGGGAATAAAAATGCAGCTAAAAACACATGGTATAAATGAAATGAAATACCAAAATACGCAATTAGTCAGAAAGAAGGTAAGAGTAGAGAAAAAAAGGAAGAGAAAGAGAAAAGCATACTTATGGTAGGTTCTTCAACCACTTCAATAATTATGCTAACTATAAGTAATTCAAGTACTCTAGTCATAAGGTTGATCCATAGATTTAATTTTAGGGAAGTGTGATATAAATATATGATATCAACAGCAACACAAAGAATAAACAAATGAAATGAAAGAAACCCTCTACTTTAGACTTAAAGATTCAGAGATGAGAGCTAAAAAACTAGGGAAAGATGTTTCAGATGTACAGTCATCACTTGAGAAGAAGACTTGTTATAGAGCCTATGTGAATTTACTGAAAGGGAATTTGGGGGTCAGAGTTACTCGAAAAGATATTATCTTTGGCTAAATAAAGGTTACTTCATTTAAAGACATTAAAAACACAACTGTGCTTAGGCTTGACACTATAGCTCCACAATTCATGAATGAAATAAAGTAAAATAATTTAAAGAGACAATAAATAAATTTGTGCTTGAAATTTTTTATTTCCCTGTAATTGATTAAAAAAAAAAACAATGGATAAAAGCATCAGTAAGGGGATTGGAGATTTGAACAATGCGTCAAAGTAATTGACTACTTGGCATTTTATTAAACACACTAGGTTTAAAAAAAAAAAAAACCCAAATAAATGAGAATCTTTTACGGATGTAATGCAATTAACACCTACTTTAATTTCTGTTGCTGTGCTAGAATATCATGACCAAAAGCAACTTAGGGGAGAAAAGATTTATTTATATTAGGTCACAATTCCAGATCACAGCCATCACAGCAGGAGAGCAAGACAGAAGGCCATATCCAGATTCAGGCTACACCACGGACAGCACTCAGAATATCCTTTCACCAGACTGGTTTCTGACATCCCGCAAGAACAAACATGTCTTATAAACTGAATGTCAGTGTTTGTCACAGGAGGCGTGAATCACATCCAAGAACAATCCAGAGAACAAAATGCACCTGAGGTGAAAGGCCCTCTGCCTTTTCTCCTGAAGCCCCTCTCACTGTTCACCATGAGGTATTGTTTTCTTCCGACAAGTTATATCAAGCTAATGTTACGGAAGCATTTTTCCCAATTAAGATTCCTTCTTCCCGGATGTGTCAAGCTGACAAAAACTAACCGGCACAGGGTTTTATACAGAGTAAGCAGTCGTCAAAGCAGAGGAGGAGGAAGTATTTGCCAGCGCGTCATCTGTTGTAAGCTTGATACCCTTGATGTATGAAGGACTGAAAAGTGCACCTAACCTAAAAGTAATCCAATCTTATGTGTATGTCTAAAATAAGTGAGTCAACTTTAAAAAACTAATTACATGCATATTCATGCTTATTGAGATACTATTCACAATATATAAGATATAGAATCAGCCTAGAGACCCATCAACAAATGAAGGTATAAAGTAACAGTATATTCTAAGTATATTGAAGGTATAAAGCAACAGTATCATTCACCTGTAGTGAAGAAGGAAGCCCTGTTATCTGAAGGAAAATACATGGAATTGGGGTGCGTCGTGTTGAGCCCAATAAGCCAGATACAAAGTCAAGAAGTGCATGTTTTCTCTTACATGCAGAAATACACAAGTCAAAATATCTGAAAGCAGAAGAAGGACATAAAGAACTATGAAGGGGGTTGAGGGAAGGACGGTGGGAAAGGACAGAAAAGAAGATGGCGTCTTTATGCACAATGTATACATGTGCTGAAATGTCACAGTGAAACTCATTCATGCATGCAATTAATGTGTGTTACAATGACGACACTATAAAGAAAACTTGTAGAGAATGAGCTAGACCAATGGCTCTTTTTATGGTCACTGATCCCATCTAATCCCTTTCATAAGAGCTTCACATTCATGACCTAATCAGCAGCCTCTGTCTCCATGAGCAAATGATTTATTCATCAGCAACGGATATGTAGCAATAAAGACGAAATTATTTTAAGCTGCTAGAGGAAAACATCCATAGCTAATAATTTCAGTATTAAGCCTCTTCCTGTGGGAGGAGCTTCCACTGCACTGAGGGATCAAGTTCGTCTTCAAAACAATCCAGCTCCTGTTCCTTGGAGAGCTCCAGGAAGACCTGGGAGAAAGAGAGAGAGAGAGAGAGAGAGAGAGAGAGACAGACACACACAGAGAGACAGAGAGAGATGAGCTAAGATCATATTGTTTCTTTCAACACTGAGTTCAAAGGCCATGCATTTAATCTTTGAAAGGCAAAGTCACCGAAATTGACCCACCTGCTCCAGGGTGGATTGTGAGAGGCTGTACTCCTCCAAGTCAAAGCTCTGTTTAACTGTATAAGGATAACCATATGTTAGGACTCTTGTATGTTAAGTCTTGTGTGTTTACTAAATTACTGCAAGGCCCAAATAGCAGCAGGGAACCATTAAATGAAGTGACAAACATTCTTTTTTTCCAAGCGCGTTAGACAGCTGTAATATGCACAATGTTTGCTTTGATTTGGAGGAGAAAGAGACGGTGCTACGTTTGCATGCTATGCAGATTTTAAGATCCGCATCAAGGGACACAATGATGCCTAGAAGACTTTCTTCCCCAAGTGAACCATTGACTCAGTAGACTTGGCACAGAAGCAGGTTGCAGGGAAAGAGACATTTGAAAAAAAGAAAAGAAAAACAAAGAGACAGCCTCAAAGGTCATCTAACAAGCCACAAAAGCATTGAAAACTCTGTTTAACCAATTTATACAGAAGGATAGTTTGTCATGATAAAATGGTATATAGGTTTTTAGTGGAAAGATACCACCAAAAACTCCCAGAAGAATCATGGCAGTATTGTTAACCTTAGGAGTACTATGAAGGATCACATGTCCCAGAAAGTTTAGGTGCTAAATTTAGACTATGGAATGAAGACACGTCAAAGACAGCTTTGGATGTCACCAGCGGAAACCAGAAGATATCTACGGGTCAAGAGTTGGCTATCTCTTCTTTAGTAGGGAAGGTGACAGCCAAGAGGAGATGTTATTGAGCAGTACAAACAAAGGGCTCCAGGGATAAGTCATGCAAGCAGACATGAAAACCAAAAGGTGGACAAGAGAAAGCCGTGCTAGAGGGATGAATAGAGTGTTTGAATTTACACTGAAGTCCTCCAATGATACCAGATTATTCATACTTACACAGGAATTTACAGATCATTATTGGTCTGAGTCAATAAAATAAAATTTACTTTAAATTATATACTTTTAATATGATCTCTAAAAGGAAATAGATTTTAGATCTAAAGAGATGTAACCTTCAAAGTATAGTGAGTTTTGTCTTATGTGCAAAGTGAAAACAAAAACTACAAAACAAAAAAGTGGAAGCAACAACCCTTGTCATGCACATGCCCATACAGAACAAGCTGACCTCCTTAGTTTCCTGCTTCTATATTTGAAAATGAACTTTGAGTGTTCCTATTTAGCACAGAATGCTCTAATTCTTCTTCTCACCACTGTGGATTCTCTTAAATTCTGGATGTCACCAGCGGAAACCAGAAGATATCTACGGGTCAAGAGTTGGCTATCTCTTCTTTAGTAGGGAAGGTGATAGCCAAGAGGAGATGTTATTGAGCAGTACAAACAAAGGGCTCCAGGGATAAGTCATGCAAGCAGACATGAAAACCAAAAGGTGATTTTTTGGGATTATTTGCCCTCAGAGTCTCATCACTAACTAGCCTCTTACCTGTCTCTAATTTGAAGAAGGCTTGGGATAAAGGTTGCACATCCTCCCTGGGCAGTTTATAGACCATCAGAGAAGAGTACCTGAGGAGAAAGGAGGGCTAGGTTGGTCTCTAAGCACGTAGGTCAACATGTATGGCATTCTCTGCTTCTGTTCATAAGGAAGCCTATTTGGCACAGTTGAATGTATTGAGAGTGAGCCAGTTGGCAAGGAGGATGAGAATTGGTTCAGTATCTTGGACTCCTTGGAAGGACATGGGTAGGACCGGTCTAAGCAACATTTGAGACTGGTCTTTCCACCTGGTCTCAACTGGGAACTCAGGCTTCTTATTCCATCTCAGACCGTCCTAGAATTTCCAAACTGGGTAGGAATCCAGGCCTATTTAGTACAGAGCCCACATTCAGGCACCTCCTCCTCCAACTCTCAATGTTATTCTCATGCAAAAGGGATTCTGAAAGCCAAGTATAAGTCCTCAAGAATTGAAACCAAGTTTTCTTCAGAAGGGCCCAGAGTTCATCAACTGATGGTCAGGTATGTATTTAGCTACCTATTGTCGACACATAATCAGAACAAATTGATTTGATCTCAAAGGATTTATTTTCTTTCATTTACAGAGCATTCTATTTCACCAACAGTGTTTATTATGTCTGTGTGCTATAGTTTATATCAAATTAGGGCTCTTACAAACATGTAAGAAAAGTTAGAGTTACACTCTTGTTTTGTCCACAGTCAACTCTGTCATTATGACCTGGCTTGAGTCTGTATAAAACTTCTATTACTTCTATTAGTAAAGACACAGATGCAATACAATTAGTGCATTCCTATAAATACCAAGTCTTTACCCAAGTAATGCATCCAGCAGATATTCAAAATTTCTCTTTAGATGTTGGGTTGATGCAATATCTGGGGCAGGAATAGGAATGAAAAAGGCATAAGACAAACATGGGAACGGTACCTGAGAACATGCTAGGGCTCCACACTACACAGAAATCTAGGATCTCCTCACTGTTAAGTAGGGAAGTAGCAACTCCAACTCCTACCCATGGAAGTTGATTTGCTTAAAACAGTACCTATTTTTAATGATCAGGATGACAATTGGATAACCTAAGACCAGGACAGAACCTGGAACATAGTAGAGTCACACACATGTGACTGTAGGCGAAACTGCTGGCCAGCCTACAGGGTCACCCACATCATGTCACCTCAGATTCACCAATCAGCCCTCTGTTCTCTAGTATACTTCCAGCAGTACTCCCAATTCAGTCATCTCTGTGTGGCTTTCTTACAGTGTAAACATGACTCACAGTGACTACCAAGCCAAACAAATCCCAGAGGAGAGTGGGTATACTTTGCCAGATCAAAAAACAGAATGTGGACTGGGGAGATGGCTGGGTCAGGAGAGTGCCTGCCGTGTCAGCGTGACAGAACTCAGGAAGTTCAGAACTCAGGAAGACTGGACTTGGCTAAGTGTGTCTGTAATCCCAGCACTGGTTGGGGGCAGGGAGAACTGGGAGGAAACAAGCTGATCCCTAGAGCTTGCTGGAAGCCAGTGTAGCCAAAAGCTGAGCTCTGGCTCAGTGAAAGACACCTTTAGACAAAGGACATTGATTCCAGCCTACAGTGTCGAGTACACATGCTTGTACACACACACACACACACACACACACACACACACACACACACACACACACACACACCTCAGAAACTGTGTTTACCTCTCCTGACGAGCAGCCTGGGGGAAAAGTCTCTTGATCTCTGCATTGAGGGCCTCCACCTGTGCAGGGATCCTCACCTTCATCTCCAGCAGGTAATCTTTGCCAAATTTGCTCTTTAGGTGTTGGATGGATCCAATACATCTGGAGCAGGAGCAGGAATTGCAAAGGCACAAGACATATGTGGGAAGGGTATCTGTGAGCATGCCCTGGTTGCCACTTGGTCACTACACCCCAAACCAGAGTCCCATAAATGCTGATTTTCTCAAAAAGCAAACTTGTTTCCCCTGCTCATCACAGAGTGGAGGGGTGTGGGATGAAAACGGGCACCCACCTCAGCCTTCCAGACACCATGATGGCCACCCGGTCACACACAGCCTCTGCTTCTGCCATGTAATGTGTGGTCAGGAGGGCGCCCCTCTCTGTGTTTGTGAAGGTGGCCTGGATGGCCTGCCTATATCATCAAAAGAAGAATTTCAATGCATGGAAATCCTCCAACTCTTCTGGATATTCTAGAGAGGAAATTCCACACGGCAGAGATGGGAACCAATCAATGCAGACTAAGCAAGATGGAGCAACAGAGGAAGAGGACTGCTCAGTCAGTGTCCCGAGAAACACTGGCGATAGACACATCAGGGGCTGTCATGAGGAAACACTTAGAAGGACAGTTGGAAGACAACATTCTAAGTAGAAAGGAACTATATATGAGGCAGATAAGGAGGACAGACTGAGACAAGCAGTTACACAGCTCCCTCCTGGGAACCTTCTGTGTTGAGGAGCCATGCAGAGTGTGCACAGTGACAGCAGGCAGGAATACAGGCCTCGGGAGCTGTGTGCCAGCCAGGATCAGAGTTGCTGATTGTACTAACATGAACCCTTTCACAGCCACAAGCCTGATCGAGCAGGTTAAAACTGTACAAGGAGTGAATTCTACAAAGGATACAGATAGTGCTGGCCACACTTGGTTTGTGTAACAATACTGGGAAAATTCAAGAACTCCCCACCAGCTGTGGTTGCAGCCTTGGCGGTGACAGCTCCTCACCACATCTGCTGCTGCCCCTCGGGGTCCATCCCGGTTGAGGGCTCATCCAGAAGCACCACCGACGGGTTCCCCAGGATGCTCAGTGCAAAGCACAGCTACAACAACAAGGACAGCCCATCTGGCACCAGTCTGAAGTGTGCTTGGGGTACCAACTAGCCTTGTTCATACCTTTCTCTTCACTCCCTCTGACAATGTCTTCACGGGAGCCCTCATCTGGTCCTGCAGCTTCAGCGCATCTGCCAACCTGAAGAGAGACAGTGGAGTGTCACAGTCCATTCCGCAATGAAGAGAGACGATGGGAAGACGGGGCGGTGAGCCCAGGCAAGATGGAGGGTTGGGCCCAGGCAGGCAGTTCAGGAAATGTGTAGAAACATTCGACAAGGTTAGGCTGACAAAGGTTGTGGCTCCCCCTACCCAGAGAGATGCATTTACCTTTTGTACAGTGTTCAAACACTTCTGTAATTTAGTTTATAATTAAATGTTAAGTACACTCAATCATTTTCCATTGACAATTAACCATTTCCCTATTTGAAAGTGGAGAAAACTTTGGAAGTTTTCTCTACCCCACCTAGATAAGCAACAGAGCCTTCTACCCCAAATGAACTGTGAAAACGGCTACCTCCAGCCTTCTCCCCGTCACCTGGGCACAGAGACAGACAGGTGCAGACCCCTGTGTACCGTGCAATGGCCACTGCAGCGTCGCCTTTGCTCATCCCCTTCACGGCAGCAAATATCTCCAGGTGTTCCCTCACCAGTAGGTTGGGCCACAGAGCATTTTCCTGAGGACAGTACCCCAGGAATCCCAGAGTGTCTCCTCTGCTGCTCCCTTTCATCAGAACCTACAGATAAAAGGTCACTGTCAGGGAATCTCGCTCTGCACTGATCCTCAAAGTACTGCTGTGACCACATTCAGTGATAACCTCACAAAGAGCTGATTCATAGCATGAGTACATGGACTCAAGCGTGTACAAAGGTGCCGCACCATCCTCAGCGCTGGGCTGGGGAAATGACTCCGCTAGGGAAGCACTTGCTGCATAAGCATGAAGACCCAGATCTAATCCCCAGCATCAGCACCACAGGGGCAGCAGGGCACACCTGAAATCCCAAAGCTGGGTAGACAGTGACAGAAAGATCCCCAGGGCTTGATGGCCAGCCAGTCTTTGCAAATCAGCAAGTACAGGTTCACTGAAAGACAGTCTCAGGAAGAAGGAGTTGTTGAGGAAGACATCCAACACCAACCTGTGGGCTCCACATGCATGCTCACACATTCACACACATGAACATGTACACACACACAAACACAACACACAACGAGACAATCACTTCATGTCTGTTAGAAAGGCTACTATCAAAAAGAGGGAAGTTAAATGATAAGGAAGTGGAGAAAATGGAACTTTTGTGCACTGTTGGTGCAAATGCATATTAATATTGCCAGTTATGGAAAATAGTGCAATATTTCCTCAAAAACAGCTGAGGTATGATCTGGAGAGCCTACTTCCTGGGATGTGTCCAAAGTGATTGGAAGATTTTCTTCTATTTCTTTTTTTCCATAAAGTGACATTTTCAGTCCTGTGTTCCTTGTTGCACTATTTTCAATAGAGAAGACATGAAATCAAACAAATGTCCATTGAGAGATTAGTGGATTTTCAAATGCAGTGATATAGGCACAACCTATATCACTTGAAAATGTGAGGGTCTTCTTTTGTCTGTGACTACATGGATGAACCTAGAAAATATGTTCTGCTTTGCTTTCTACTGCTGACATAAAGCACTGACCAAAAGCAACTTGACAAGGAAAAGATTTATTGGGCTTACACCTCCAGATCATTGTCCATTCTTGAGGGAAGTCAAGGCAGGAACTCAATACAGGAACTTGGAAGCAGAAACTATGGAGGAATGCTGCTTACTGGCTTAATTCCCCCTGGCTTGCTCAGTTCCGTTTCTTATACAGTCTAAACCCACCTTCCCAAACGTGGTATTGTCCATAGTGGTATGGGCCCTTCCTCATCAATTAGCAATCAAGAAAATGCCCAGCAGACATGCTCACAGTGCAATCTGATGGTGGCAAATCCTGAGATGAGATTCCTTCTTTCCAAGTATGTCTAGGTCTGTGTCAAGTTGACAAAAACTAAGCATGTCCATGTGGGATGTGAAATAAGGCAGGCACAGAAGACAGCCACTGCCCGACTTCATAAATGCACATGCAGTTTGAATAAGTTAAACTTGCAACAGTGGAAATGAGAATGATGGACACCAGAGGCTGTAGGAAGGGGGAGAGATAGATCTAAAGCAGCAGTTCCATAAAGACAGGAAGAATGAGTTCTAGTGATGTATTTCATAGAATGAGGACTGCCACAAGCACATACAACAAAGTGACCAGTATTGTGAAGTGGCTGCTCTGTTAATTAGCCCGATTTAATCATTCCACATTGTACACAAGTCAAAACATCACATCATACCGTGAAGATGTCCAAGTGTAATGTCAGTTCAAAGTTTTTAAAGATCAACTGATATTTTTAAACACTGTGTGTATGTGTGTTGGTGTGCGTGTGGGCACATGCATGCCACAGTGTGTGTGGCAATCACCTCAAGTGCCAGGCCTCACCGTCTTCCTCATACAAGATAGGGTTTCTTGTTCACCACTGTGTCCCCCTGGCTAGTTGGCCTGTGAGCTTCCTGGGATTCTCCTTTCTGCCTTCCATCTTGCAGCATGAGCCCTGGGATTGTGCTCTACAGCACCCAGCTTCACGTGTGTGTACACAGACTCAGGGTCCACATGCTTGTGTGGCAAGTACTTTACCCATTGAGCCATCTCTCCAACCCTAATTATTTACTGACTTGTGTGCACGTGTGTTTGTATGTAGATGTGTGTGTGTGTGTGTGTGTGTGTGTGTGTGTGTGTGTGTGTGTGTGTATTCATTTGGTGGCCAGATGGCAATCTAGAATATCATTCCTCAATCACTGTCCACATTTTCTTTGCTTGTTTGTGTTATATGTGCTTATGTGTAATGTATGTATGTTTTCATTTGAGTGTGTGCATATTGCAGTCAATGTTGGGTGGCTTCCTCAAGTGCTCTCCAACTGCTCTTTGAGACAAGATCTGAACCTGGGCTCATTGAGTCAGCTAGGCTGGTTGGCCAGTGAGCTCAAGGGGCCATTTGTCTCTTCCTTCTCAATGACGGGATTATTGATGTTTACTGCCATGCTATCTCCTTATGTGAGTACTGGGATGTGAACCCAGGTCCTCATATTTACACATCAAGCCCTTTATTAACTGAGATATCTGCTCAGGTCCTACTTTGGGTTTTGAGTTTCTCATTTTTGGTTTTTGAGCTTCTGGGCTGGCCAGCAAGCCCTAGGGATGCGGCAGTCTTTCTCCCCAGCTAACTGTGTTTTTAAAAAAAATAAAAATGAACCATACCAGACTTATTGAATCTGACATAGCTGGGGTCTCAAAAATATTTTAATATTACAATAAAGTACCTTAATATAATTGTCCAACGTGACAACTTATTTTTGCTGTAGGTATGCCTTAAGCTTTATTATGATAATGATCATGAAGAAACTTTTTTCAAAATTGATATTATGCTTAAATATGTCAAAAATTACCTATTGTAGGCCAGACTCTAGAAGGTAGAACCAACACTTGCTAAGTCCTGTTGAAGTGGGTTTCCCTCTTGCCTCATTGCAGACATTATCCTGCTAACCACAACCAAGGCATTTGTTTTTGCATTCCTTCTGTGTCCCAGATACTCCTCTGTCCAGGGCACAGGTCAATCTAACCAGTATACAGGTCTATATGACACCTCCACCCTGTAGTGTGGCCAGCAAACAACAAACTGTGAAAACACAGTCTTTTGATTGGTTCTTTGATAGTCATATCCAAGAATCTGGGCTGGACACTAACAAGGGAAGGACTTAAGGCTGAGTGGTTTAAGAATCTGTCTGCTTGCTAAATTGCCATGTCAGGAGAGAAGAAGGTGCTAGCTTCGGAAGGACACATTTGGAGTAGATCGAACAGCAGGAGCAAAGCCCTATAGCAGGGTGACATTGGATGCATCCTTGGCCAAACTCAGAGGACAAAATAAGTGGCACAGAGCAGAGTGAAGAAGGACACAGGGACAGAGGTTCTGAATGCACATGAAAAGCAGATCTTGAAGTCAGTCACAGAGTAGACAAGTCACTGAAGTAGTTAATCTGAAGAATAATGCAGTCGAAAACAATCATACCGGCTGCTCTGATTAAACCCATTTCATAACACTCAAATAGTTGGCCATATCCTTACAACTCAAAATACTTCCTTCCAGGGCACCAATGAACAGTCATCTTCTTTGCCCTTTCCCTCTTTTATGAGTAATACAGTACTTCACTGAAGTACAGGTCAGGTGGTAAGTGGCAAGGAAGGGCAGCTGTAGTCAAATGAGGAGACCACTTAGGGTCGGCTGTGCCACGGACATTACAAAGACCAGCTTCTGATTTTCTTATCCACATTGGCTTCAGAGGGACCATGAACACGAGTTTCTCCTCCTTACACAGTGGAATGTTTGACAGTTGCATTCCTCTCTTTCTTCTTCCTCTCTGACTTGGCTACCAGCACTCTCTTCTAGCATAGTCACACAGACCTCTGCCTTCCCTTGGACACTTTCTAGAACAGTTTTGATCTTGTCTCTTTTCCATGTGATCACCTCTCTTGGCTAATTCTGAACATTGTTTGCCTGGCCAGTTTGCTTCTGAGACAAGTGATGAGTTGGCAAACAATTCATATTTACAGCCATGCTTCTCCACTCTCTGGCTACTCTAAAAAGCATCTTATTAAATCTGTACTGGGAAAAATTTTAGTGCAATTGTATACATTCCAGTATTTGTGAATTGGTAATAGTACTTCATGAAGATGAGTAAATAGAGAGTTTGTTTTAAACATTTCTATTCAAGATTTTGCAGTTGTCTGCTGAAATGCTAATGTTCATTTAAAATTATAATTAGTGGATTATGTGGTCCAATAAACAGCATCTGTCAAGATTTTCATGATTACTATTCTGAGGATGAATAACATTCCTTCTTGGTAGACTCATGGGAAAGAGACGGCTTCCCCAAATGGCTTCTAAGCATTTATGTTTATACTCAGAGATAAGTACTGCTCCCAGCCCTTGGTCAAAGAAGGTTCTTTTTGCAGTGGGATGAGATTCATAGCTGGTGTTGACATGAAATGATTCTTAAGTGCTCAGACCTGGATGGAATATCTATGTCATCCCCTCCAACCCTTAGGGAACAGAGAAACAAAGAAGAAAGAAGAAGGTAGAGGAGGAAGAAGAGGAGGAGGAAGAGGAAGAAGAAGAAGAAAAGGGAGAAGAAGGAAAAGAAAGAAAGATAGGAAGAAAGAAAGAAAGAGGAAGGAAGGAAGGAAGGAAGGAAGGAAGGAAGGAAGGAAGGAAGGAAGAGAAGGCTCATGGTGGGGGGTGGAGTGCTATGAACTCCTGGATATGACACAAGCTTTGCACTCATGAACTCATGGAAGCTGCAGTTACCTACACAAGACCTGTAAACTTTTGGACCTGTCAACATTTCATCATGGGTGGAGGAGAAGCTCAGGAGGCCCACCCCTTCCTGAGAGACTATTGGCAGTTAATAGTGGCTAGTGATGTAGCTGATGAGTATGAACTGATAAGTTGTTCATACTCCAGTAAATAACCCCTAGTCAATGCCGATGCAAGCAACCCTACTGAAATTAATGTGTCATGAAAAGACATGAAGCAGGAGGGAGACTTTTGGTGAACAAAAAGAGTTTCAGTGTGAGAGGGAAGGGGATTGGAAAGGCTAATAGTGTGAATATAATTAAAATGAATTATATTACACATATATAACATTACCAAAGAATTAGAAAGCATCCCCATTGAATGGCCAGAATCTGTGTCACTGAAAGTAAGCACTTGTTTATAATTCAATATAATTTTTTTTAAAACCTTGAATAATTATTACATTTTTCAAGTTGTCATCTGGATACTGTTGTATAAAACACTACCTGTCATCTACCTACCTGTCCGGCACTTGGTTTTGCTTCTCCAGTTATTATCTTAATGGATGTGCTTTTACCAGCTCCATTGTGTCCCAATAATCCTACAACCTCACCTGAGAAGAAGAAGACACATTAGTAATGACAGTGACTATTACAAACCTCACTGTTTGATGAATGCTATGTGATGTGCCTTAAATACAATTTTATATTGTTAATCGTCATATTATCTAAAAGGACCTGAATAAAATAGGCATGAGAGGATCAGGGATGGAGAGTTGGCTCAGCAGCTGAGAGAATGTGAAAGGACCTAAGCTGGGCTCTTAGCACCCACAGCAGGCATCTCATAACCTCTTCTAACCTCAGCTCCAGGGGATCTGATGCTCAATCTAGACCTGAGAGCATCTGCTCTCTCAAGTTCAACACCCACACACAGACACACCATATACACATCATTAAAAAGAGTAAGTCCTATAAAGGATCATGCTCGGGCATAATAGAGACTACATATTAAAAACCCTTAGTAAATACCACATTTCATGGAGAAAAGTAAAAACATGGCTCTAGTATCAAGAAAAGGATTGGGTGTCCAGTTTTACCCCTCTTATTCCATGTACTATTAAAAATTTCAACCACAGAAATTATATAAGAAATAAAAAGCCAATTAGGTCATCCCTATTAGCCAACAATATGAATCTATACATAGGAAGTCTCTAAAAATTCCAAAAGAAGATGAGAGTAAGAAGATAGGAGATCAGCATACAAAACAGGGAGCTTCTCTTCTCAATTTAAATTTGTTTATTTTATTTTATTTATATGGATGTTTTGTATGCATTTATGCCTGTACATTGCGTAAGTGCCAGATGACTGTGGAGGTCAGAAGAGAGTGTCAGATCCCCCAGAACTGGAATTACTGATGGTTGTTAGCCACCATGGGCATACCAGTAACCAAACGCGGTCCCCTGCAAGAGCAAGTGGTCTTAACCACTGAATCATCTCTCCACACCCCAGTAGTGTTTCTATACATCAATAATGAACATGCTGAGAAAGAAGCTCTTTACAACAAGTACACAAAGTAAGATATATAGCAATAAACCTAACAAGTGGGTGAAAACAATCTCTATAATGTAAAGTATAGAATAATGGAAAAAGGAACTGAAGACACTGAAAAATGAAACAAAAAGATGAAGTGAAAACTGAAGAGGGACT